AGGGAGGGAGAGAGGGAGGGAGAGAGGGAGGGAGAGAGGGAGGGAGAGGGAGAGAGAGAAACTTTTCTCTAAATTTGAAAATTTTCAAAATCAAATGTTAAAACAACATAAATATGTGAAGCAAAGATTAACCACAAATACAAGAAGAAATTGACATAACCACAGAGTGGGAGGTTTTTCTTAGAAAACACATCTAGAGGCCTTAAAATAAGTACATGAGTAACACAGTAAACAAAATTTACCCACCATACATACTATATAGAACTTTGACCAATAAGGCAAAATACTATATACATGTAACATGCACAAAAAATTGACCTTATGTTAGGCCAAAGAGAAATTCTCAAATGTTGAAATATGTAAGCCACAACTTCTTTCCACAGTTAAATAAAAGTAGAATAAAAAAGTATGCCTCCAAAATCACCCACTTAAAAATTCAAAAACATTGTTCTAACCACTACAAAGTCAAAAGGGAAAATCAAAAATGAAATAAATATCCTTTAGAAATGGACAGTGACAGACCTCTGTATTAAAACCTATAAAACTCAGTCAAAACAGATCTCAAAGAAAAAAATTATACACTTGTTCCATTTATGAGAAAAACAAAAACACTGAAGACATGGTGAATTTGAGCATTTAGCTTAAGAAACTAGAAAAAGGAATAACAACTTTAAAAAGTGAAAAGGAATGAAAAGTATAAAATAATGTCCTAGTAGCAACAAACATTATCCAGCACCAGGTCTCGGTTTCTAATATCACTGTCCAATAAAAGAAACCAGGGCTACTTGGAGAAATGGCTGATTCTAGTGTCAGAGCATGAAATATACAAGATGAGCCTGGAGCCTCTTACAGTGCCAGAAAGTAGGGAAGTTCTATAAAAACAAAAAACAAGGGAAAAAAAAAAAAAAAAGCCTACACTGATTGGCTATGTCAAAGGACCCATGGGCCAACTGAAAGAGCTCCCAATGGTCAAAACTGCAACAATTTGAGCAAGAAAATCAATGGGAAGTATTGGATTATAACCCAAACCAGGAAATATATATACATGATTCCGTAGTGAAGGAGTGGATGGTTGGATGGATAGACAGGGAAGAAGAGGCACCTTCCATGCAGCAGAATTCCAAATAATTTATGTAGATACTCTGCCATCAAGGAGGCAGAACACAACTCCCCATTTCTTAAGTGTGGGATATGCACAGTGACTTCCTTTTAAAGAGTACAGTATGGGAAAGGGGGAAAAAAGGAATAGCTTCACAATGGAGAAGCCT